GTGGCAAATATTTCCATTCCCTTCGACATGGTTGCGGTGGTTTGATCGTGCACTACTGGCTCTATTGGTAATGACAATTCTGTTTCAAAAGATTTATTTCCCCTGGTGTTTCCAGAATCTTCCCCTGCAGGTTCATGGTACAATTCAGCAACAGAGTCCTTGACATACTGTCTTCCTTTATTTCTACGGCTAGACCCCAGTTTTCTTCTGTTCCCAATGGGGTTAAAGTCAATGTTTTGTTGTGGTTTGGAGTCAGAAGTTACAGTTATTCCTGATTGCACAGCTTGTGAAGAGGATTCACCCTCCTCCATTTCAGAGAAAGGTCCTTCCTCAGAGTGAGTTTTAGGTGAGTGGTACATTTTATGCATTTTGGCTGGCTTAAAGTCCTGTTCATGCTGTTTGCTTGAGGCATCCTCTATTATATAAGCACATTTGCGTTCTGACAAACTGAAAGGCTCATTTTGTTCCTCATCTGTAAGCATTTCCTCTTTTGGTGATGACATTGTAGCTGGCTTATCATTGGACTCATTTTCAGTATTTTCTCTTCGAATGGTTTCTTCTGTGGTTATCTCGGGTGTGGTGGCAAATGGCAAAACTACTGACTCACTAACCAAATAATTGCCCTGTGAGTTTCCATCCTTCCTTAACAACTCTGTCTCATCATCTATTGCTTTGCATTCTTTTTCTCTTTCAGTACACACATCAGAAAGCTTTTGTTCTGACATTTCCCTAACGTTTGTGTGATCTACACTTGGACGTGAAGCAAGACTTAACCTTGTTAACTCAGAGTTGCTTACACATTGTGCACTTTCCTTGTCTTCCTCGCAGTAAAGAGTTTCAGATGTGTTGACTCTTTCCTCCATGGTTGGCACAAATGTAAAGGAGTCTGATACAATTTTAGAGTTTGTCACATTTTCATAAAGGCGTGCTTCCAGATTTTCGCTTTTGGGAATAACACTGTCCAGGTCAGCCTCTGGATAGTTTGTTATAGTAGCATTCTGAAGTTCAGGAAAATAATCATGTTCGGAAGCTGAATACAGATAACTCTCATGTGTTGCAGACATATTGTCACTCTCTTGAAACAATACTTCCTGTGTGACATGTTGCATTGTAAGTGACATTTCTTTTGTTGCAATGGTTTCCTTAACTTCCTCTTTAGTTTCGTGGCAAGATTCAGTTGCATATTCTCTTACATGGTGTCCTTTATTTTTGCGACTAGACCCCAGTTTCCTTCTGTTACCTGAAAATGCAGGTGGACTCTGAGTTTCATATAGTGAATTATCAGGTTCAGCTAATACCTTCAATGATTCAGTATTATCTACAGTCAAGTGGCGTTGATTTTCAGAGGAACTGTCCGTTATTTTGAACTCATCAGCCTTCGTTTGTTCATTTTGGTTTGCTCCTCGGCGGCGTGAGCCAAGCCTTTTCTTCTTTGCGCTTTGAGCAGACATAACTTCCTTTCTTCCCTCTTAAATTATGAAACATTTAGACATGCAAATTGTCAGTATATCAATATGTATATACCCTTAAAGATTAACAAGTTCATCAAAATGCATATTGATTTAGGATCTTAACTTTAACTACCATAATTCTAACTGTTCAGCCAATTAATTTATTTTAAATACAGAAATACATGTTATTTGTTTATTTTGATCAATAACCTTAATTTACTTAATTGTCATGACGCCACATGTACTCACCACCCAAATCTGGCACCTGTCGTCTCTCAACACGAACTGCTTTGTAAAGTCAAGTCATGAGTGTATGCTGCACAGTTAATATATGTCACTCGTTGAGGGGTGGGGGTGGTTTGTTCCTTTGTGGCCGCCATGACATAGAACTTCCTGTGTGGGTTACACTTGCAGCATGTCATAAGGCAGGGGTTTTCAAAGTGTGGGTAGGTGAGCCTCCCCTCAGAGAACATAAGAACAGCCGCGCCCCCCCTCCCAATTATTATTGCTGTTATTATTATTATTATGATTGTTGTTGTTGCTATAATGCAGGGGTATTCAATTGCATTTCAAAGAGGTCCAGTAAGAGAAAATGTAATTAAAAGCTGTTTTCGCTGTCTACCTTCCGCCATTTGAAATTACTCCGACTGTTTCTCTCCTCTTGTCTCGTCTCTGTGTGTGTGTTTGAATCTATCGTGCTGACTGCACCAATTTAATTGGCTGAGTAGCGTCACCTCCTTAAAACATTAAACAATAACTTTTTTAAAGCTTTTTATTTTTATGTTTTAAACATATTGTATAAAACTCCCCCACTACTTGGACTATTCCTTGCACCCCTCTAGAATAAGCCCGAATGGTCTCAACCATATTGCATCAGTAACGTGCACTTGTTATTATAACAAGATCGCAAGGACGCTGGTAGCGATCGGAACATTTAGTGTTGTTCAGTTTGTGTGTTGTGGAACATGCGTGTCCGTGCATGAAAATATACCACACACCCAATTACAATTGCATGTTCAATTCACTACCATGGAAGTTAATACAGTTGTTAAAGTTGGAACAGCCTGTGGACAGCCGTTCTTCCTTGCATGTCAGTCGCCGACACCTTCTTACAGAGGACAGGCACATCTAGCTGCAGCACGACCCGTATATTTCCGCACGCCGTGTTCTCAAGACATTTTTTTAACATTTTCAACATGGTGGATAAATCCTTATATGCTCCCGGTAACACACTGAACGTCAACTTTGCCTCCTTATTACACTCACCCCTACTTTAGTGGGAGCAATGAGTCTGCGTCTTTGATGCACACAGGAATAAACGCAGATCATACTCTGGCTGCAGCCTTTACCGGTACTTGCTTTTGATCAAAGTCAATGCGGAAAACCTGCATTCACACAGGTAGGTGAAGGGAATGAGCACTTTTACAGCCTTTTTGGCGAGGTGGGGGAACTCGGTCTCCACAGACAGCCACAAGTGGACAAGCGTCACTTTACTCGTCTTTTTCTCGTTCTTTTGTGTCTCACGCTGCGCCTCCCCTGAAGCTCTCTGGCGCCCCCCGGGGGAGGCGCGCCTCACACTTTGAAAACCGCTGTCATAAGGCAACAGAAACGGTATTTCCTGATCTGAATAAAGCTTATATTTTTACATTTGCCAAATGTCATTTGATTATGGTACATGGTTTGTTTAATATAATACTTCCAAACAAAAAAAAAGGCAACGAAGAAATAGGCTTCACCTTGGAAAACCATTTATTGAACACATTTTCTTAACTGCAGCACAAATTGTCAAGAGTCAAGCAAAGTTGAATAGAGCATTTTGTTGCAAAAATGACAAGTAAAATACAGAATTACAGATTATGTTTTTGGCTTCAAGGATAGCCTGCAAATAACAGCACCAGTATTCAACATTTTGTTGCCAGTCTGATTTCTGTCATAACATAAGCCCCTCTAATGGTATGTCTCACATTAACTCATTGCCAGTAATTAAAGAGTCAACCAAGAATAAAAAAAGGAAACAAAAACAAATAAAAACATCACATGAGTTTTAATTCAACAGTTAAAAAACAGGATGGCAATGTAAAAACTAAATCCAGTATTTCATAACATGCGGGGGAAGAGAATTCGCTATAGGAGAAAAAGACATCAGATTGTTGTTAATTCAACAGACTGGTATTACACAAGTAACTTGGCCAACCCTAGAGAAAAGAAAGACATGACTATAAAAATTGGTATTTTCCCCAACCATAGCTAGATCCCGCACACGAACCATCGCCTTGGGGTCCTCATTTTCTGTCGTTAGACCTGGAACGACTGTAAAACAAACAAAGTTAACAAAATGAGTCTCAAAAGTACAAAGTAATAAGTACAGTGATTTTTTTAAACTTGCCTCCTTGACCGGGAGATTGATCTTGGGCCCTTCTTGTTGTCTCTGGACACAGAGCGCTGTCTGCCTCTATCTCTTGAAAGAGACCTGATGCAACAAAGCATAAAAAAATTTATATGATTATCATTGATTATTAACAAAAGCAGAGTGTAAATATAACTGTTGTTCCTCGCTTACCTGCTGCGACTGCGGCTCCTCCTCCTATAGTGTATGTGAAGTAAAAAATGAAGCAAAAAAAAATTAGGGAAGAGATTTTTTCTAGTGAAACCTTTGGTATTCTTGATCCTTAGACACAGATTACACGTGGTTACACGTAGTTCCTTGTCTGTTAATAGAAGGATCATCTGCATCCATGAACTGCATCAAGATCAACTTGATAAAGAAGGAATCTTTGTCAAATGAGCACCAATAGGGGGGCCATATTTCAGAACAAAGCCAGGGCTCGACATTAAAGCTTTCCTTTGACATACAAACAAATAATATGTCACAATTTAACAATGGTCTGTCTATTGCTATTGATTTGTGTTTCCACCACACAGCTTGTGCACAATGACCTCCAAGGGTCCACACAGGGGAACTGAACAGAGAAGGGTCATTTTCATTTTCAGTTATAAAAAAAAACACATTAAAAGTATTTTGTTTTTCTATTAAGATACTGGAGCACACTAGGAGCGTGGAAATTTTTCATGGAAAAAAGGGGGGGACATTTACCTAAAACAAAGGTAGTGGTTTAATGTCGAGCCATGAAAATGCCCTTGGTAGCCCATTTATATGGTGAACCTCTAACTGTAGTTAATATGGGCAAGTATAAGTTAAAGACTGATGACAAAGTTCCTTGACCACAACTTTTGATCTGTAGATTTTTGCAGCTCTGGACTGATCTTGCTCTAAGTTACATAACTGCTGAGGGCAAACGGTCAAGCACCTTTGAAAGTTAGAGTAAGCATAAAAACTACAAAGAGCAGGATTAAAAGCAACTTACTATTTTGGGGGAATTGGACAAGATAGAAATGACGCAAGGAAGCCAGACTGATGGTGAGGGAAGTCGAATTGCAGAGAGGATTTGCCACATGATGCAAATGTTGGAGATATGAAGTTGCTTGGTGGCTGGTTGGAAGGGGTAGTTGTAGATTTTCCCTGCCTTTTTTGGGGGGGATGATGGGAAGGGATGTAAGCCATGGGCTGTTCCCGTTGATATAGTTGTGTGGCAAATAGAGAGTAAAGATGCTGATTGGTTGATAATGTGAAGTGGGCCGCTGTCGATTGGATTAAGGTTGGAGGAAGAAGAGGAGGATGCTGGGAGCTGCATGCTCAGGAACCAATAGGTTGGTGGAACCTGACGACTGGCGGTGCGCCTTGGTCATGTGACAACACCACCCAAGCTGATTGGGGCTCCCTGGTCAGCAGTCACATGATGCTGAAAGAAGACTAGTTGACTGACTCAGATGGTGAGAAGCGTGGTGGTGACTCTGTAACGGGGTTCAGTTTTATTAATATATGGCAACTGAACTCAGAAAGAAAACAAAATGTAAACCTGCAAGAAAGTAATTCTAGAAAGTACCTATTAAAATGTTTGATGGAGTGCAAACTATGCCCCTTGAAGCAATATCACTCTGTTAGAGCTTGGTCTTTTATAAGACAACCCGTTATTAGAGTTCATAAATAGTCAAGTGCTGACATAGGCTGCATTTGGAATTGGATGTCAAACTAGGCTAAACTGGCAAAGACAAAAATACTTTTGCAACAATTTCTTTTAAAAGCATCACTATTGTAGATTTGTTTTTGAACACCTAAAAAGCAACATCAGTATGTTAAATCCTGAAGCAGGCCAATTCACAGATTATCTATTTATGAACTCATTTTGTATATAAACTACATGATTTAAAGCACTAAGACTGCTAACGATAACATTTAGGCTATTGTGACAAATTATCAGAAACGTACCCCTACTTGGTTTTGGCTTAAAAAGATTGACTACGCTTTAATTGGTCTATGATGATTATTTGTCAGTGTGGGAGGTAAAAAAATAATGGTTACAGTGTGTTGGGAATGTAAATATGCTTTTTCAGTTGTTTAAAAAATAAAACACTGCAAATGAGACAGTAAATAAAAGAGTAAAGTGGTCCAAAAGAAAAACCATACCTGCGTCTGACTGGAGGACTACGTCGTCTAAAATCATCTCGAGGGCGTCTGCTACCGCCATGGGACGGAGGATGGCCACGGCTCCTTGACCGCTTTTCCCCATTGGATAACTCGACACGCACTCGGCAGCCACACATAGTTCTAAAGAAAAAGTCATCACACGAGTGAGAAATTCTAACATGTAATGCAAAAAGTACAACTGCAAACTGTGTTAAAAGATTTACCTTCCATCCAGTTCTTTCACAGCATCGGATGCATCTCTGGGGTCTTCAAACTCTACAAAAGCAAAGCCTGGGGGATTCCTGGCGACCCAAACACTTCTTAAAGGGCCATAGTACCCAAAGGAACTTTCCAACTCGGTCTTGTTTCCATTGTTTCCTAGATTTCCAACATAAACCTTGCAGTCAAGGGGAAACTGGTCACTTTGGCCTAAAAGAAAGGGCAAAACATAGGATGAGCGTTCAGACTTGTAAGAAGTATAGACAGTGAGTGTACCTCAGCTTTAATACAATCCCATAAACAAATAATTAACATTAACTCTTATTTTGGTGTCAAATGCTTAATGCATATATATAGTGCAGACATAAATAAAACAAATACAAAAGCATTACTGTCCAGTAAATGCAAACTGTTAAGTTAAAATAATATTCAAATAAGAGTAAAGCTTTATATGTGGGTGTTTATTTCAGAATAAAGAGAATAACTCCCGCATGGGCAGTCATCCAGTCCCTTAACTAATAACGGAGCTGGGTGTGTCCAGATGTAGGAGGCTTCTCGCCTCATCTAAAGAATTTCACCGTGGAAACAAACACCCGGTAGTGAAATAAGTTGGAGCCAAAAGTAGCACCAGGAACTCAGTAGAAAATAATCACAACTTACTCATTTCACCAGATTTAAATCTGATCTTCTTTTTACAGTCAAACAATCAGATGTGCCTGAAAAGAAAGACAGAAAGTGTTACAACGACATACCTGGACATCTTGGTATCAGTGATTGGCTAACGTTATGGGGATAACACCGAGAGCATAAGGAAATGCTTGTGATTTTCTAAAACAACGACATGAGTCTAACTATATTTAAAATCACAAAATTAAAACATCCCGTGCTGTTGACCCTTTTAATCACTTGCATAAAGTGGACGCCATTGTGTATTTTATCATTCTACTTAAATGTTAACGTCGACTGCACATTATCAAGCTAAAGCTAGCTAGCGCTAGCTAGCAACCACTAGCATTTGTGATTTGCTAGCTTGTGCGTAACAATCACCGGGGTATTGTTAGACTTATATTTTCACCCCTTTGGATAGATCAAGACGAGTATCTGCGTGATTTACACAATCAGGTCGCATACTTGATCATGTTTAGTGTGATTTGTCCACCAAATAGTAACGTTCACGGGATTCCCAACCCCCACAAATAGCCGTGCAAACATTAGCTGTTAGCACAATGTAGTTGTGATAGCATACATATTTAGCATTTACCACGACGGGGAAAATATTTAGCCAATCCACATACTAATCACTATCACATGTAACAACAATGGAATGAACACAGGAGAAATATGGAGATATATATATATATATATATATATGGTATGTAACGTTGGCTCACCTTTTCGTAGCTGCAGTTCGACAAATGTGATGAGCAGAAAACACGCCGTCCGGTTCTGCTACTAGCTTAACATGTCCTCGACTTTTTCTTTGGTGTTTATTGGCGGGTGGAAGCCCAGTGTCCAGAGGAATCACCGCCAGCGCCACCACCTGGCCTGGCGTGTGAAATAAAAAAGAATGCTGGAATTATCAGAATTCCTTTATTTGTCCAACAAATACAAGGGAAGTAGAGATTGTTATAGCAAAAGTAATGGTACAAAAATAAAACACTCTTAGATAAAGGGTATGCACATATTATTTAAAACTCCATAGTTTCTCTTTTGTTAACTGGAATTCTAACTGGACATTTTACATTTATATTTAATGTAATATGCCATTCCTTGCACACTTCATGTAAATGATATACTTTGAAATTGTGTATTCTACAGATATGTATCTTTCACAGTTAACTTGTATACATTTTACTTTTTAGTTCTGTTTGGTTTTATATCAAGTGTAACATGTACAACATAGTGTGATAGAAACTAGATACAAGTGTACAATATATGAGTGACTTATAGATTATTGTTACAATATTACAATTGTCAAACTATAAAACATGTCAAATTTGATTATTTTAGTTTAATCTGTTTCATTGAAAAATTACATCAAGTTGCCTGACATTTTCTATTAAAGGTAGGGTAGATAATTCACTTCAGAAACACTTTTTGTTATATTCCATTGAATGCTCTTAACATCCCGATAGCAATGAATACATTAAATGCTTTGACAATAAATATATACGTGTGGAAGCCGTGTCGCTGTAAAAAGCAAGTCCAATACTCCAGATAATTGGAGGGCCAACCTGCCTGTCAGCCTTCCATCTCGTGCACAAACTTATCTCGTGCCCTCATTGGTCATGTGCACGTTCGTGTGTTGGAGGAGGGGCTCTGTGAGGAAGTCTGAAGGAAGCATGGATGTATAATAAGAAAGGAGCCGATTTTTTCGGTTGTGTACTTTCAAATTCTAGCTTACTCGAGCTGGTTTCTCCATTCTTACCTACCTACCTTTAAGAAAAGATTAAAGGCCATCCTGTTTTTCATCTATATCAACAGAAGAAGGTCATTTGACTTGATGTTGTATTTTCAATATATAAATAATACATGTTTATATTTTTCTTATTGTGTCACTGGAATACCCTTAATACATTTCCATTTCATTAGAGAATAAAGCTTTCTTGTCTCCTCTTATCCAACCGTTTCTGGTTGACTACTTGGTATGATCCGGTTGGGTGCATTCCTATTTCATATTATGTGTGATTGAGACCCTGCATGACCTACTCTCAGACAAGTGATGATATTTTCCCCCTCGTTTCTAAGCCACCGCCCTCCCAATAAACACAAAGAGATAACATTAAAAAAAAACAAAAAAAAAAACATTGACTGTACAAAAAAAGCCCAGTATTTGTATAGTTCTCATTACCTTCAAAACATGTTAAATGTAATCATTCTGAAAATAAATATTTTTGTCAATTTTTTTCACCTTTAATAATATTGGATTTCATTGATCAAAATGTTAAAGGAAACCTCTTTAACTTGGTTAAAAACAAAAATGTGTCCCTAACCAGCAACATGTGGATGTAATAGTTTAAAGCAGAGCCCTAAAGACTGTGAAAGCATTTGAAAACCATTTCATATTATTTTATTGGAAAACCGGTAACCTGAATTCAGAAACAAATGCATTATGTTAGTAACTGTCCAGCATTTCAGCATTAACAAGTCGTTTAAACAATTAAATACCATTGCCCACCCACATTTCACAACATAGTATATTTTTTTATATTGAATATTTGTGTTAATCCAAATATAGTCCTTCACTAACATGAAAAGAAACCATGACCAGGAAGCATGACCACCCACGTAGATATACAGCATATACACATAGAAATGGCATCCGGTTTGACAAAAGGGTTCTCAAAACTAGAAGAAAAATGACATGCCCCAAGGGGCGCGTTGTTAGTCAAATATTATTCTCATTCTTTATAAATAACATACAGCACATACCGCCAGGAATGGAAAAGTCGTTGTTTGGAGATGAGGGGGCTCTGTGAAAGAGGGGAAGGGACGTAAAAGCCACAAGGAACTGTGTGATTACCCGTTACTTGTATTGTGCTTGTGCAATGGGATACAGCTCTAGCCCCCTTTCATTGCCCCTGACTGCACAGACCTCATCTGTTGTTGCATACTGGCTGCTGCATCAATTTTCATTTAGAGGATTGGGACAGACCATCTCTGGAAGCAGAAGAAATGGTGGGATAATGGTTAGCGGTGAGTTGTTAGAGGGCCCGGCCAACTAGCTGAACAATAACTCATCAGGTCTCCTTAACTCTTGTGCAACATTTCCACGGGATGTTGGTTTGATGTAAGCATCAAATCGGTGGTACTTTACTCAAGGACATTTTTTTTAAAATTCACAATTAAATTGTTTCCAGTTCCAAAATTGTATTATTATTAAAGGTGAGGTAGGTAATTTTGGAGAAACCAGCTCGAGTGCGCTAGAATTAGAAAATACACAGCTGGAAAAAATCTGCCACTTCCTTACAGAGTCCCTCCTCCAACACACACGAACGCGCACATGACCAATGAGGGCACCAGATAAGTTTGTGCACAGATGGAAGGCTGACAGGCAGGTAGGCCATCCAGTTATTTTAGCCGGGCCGGCTAAAATGATTGATCGTGCTTTTTACAGTACTACAGCTTCCACAGATGAGATTTTTTTATGGATTTTTTGTCAAAGCACTTAAGATATTCATTGCTATCGGGATGTTAAGAGTATTTCATGGAATATAACAAAAAGTGTATCTCGAGCCGGTTTCTCAAACTTACCTACCCCACCTTTAATAGTTAATATTTTAATAAATGAGGTGCCCGATTGAATAAAAAGTATGATATCGGATGACTATTTCCTTGATCACTTTATAATCAGTTAGGCTACGAACAGTTGTAGGATTACTTGTCCAGCACATTTAATTTAAACAAGTGTAAGGTATAAGAAATACAATTCTGCCTTTTTTTAAAACCAAACTCCTGGAAAACGTTTTTGATAATTTTAACTGTTTAACTTCCTGAATGAGTAGCACTTGTACGAACATATCGCCATCTACTGTAGGGGAGTGTAAACACTCAGAAGGCAGTACTGTATTTTCTACTCTACTACACTAAAGTACAAAAGTTTTATCAGCAAAATGTATTTAAAGTATGAAAAGTATATTGTTCAAATAGGGCCTTTGTGTGTGTATATAATTATGTGACTTTTCTCCATAACATTGTTGCATCAAGTAGCACGTTACTGTTAGACAAACAAAGTTCTGATTGTCTTTTTGCAAAATATTGAAATAATTTCACTCTTTTGTGACTTAAAGAGTACGTTTTCTAGTTTAATTATTAAGGATTCATTTTTTAAAGTAGCTATAAAGCTGCAATTAAATGTAGTGTAATTTCCTTTTTAAATGTAGTGGAGTAGAAGTGTAAAGCATCAATAAAAGGAAATACTCAAGTAAAGAATAGTACCTCAAAATTGTACTTAAGTACAGTACTTGAGTGAACGTACTTAGTTACTTCCTACCACCAATTATTGGGGGCCCTTGTTATGTTTCAGATGTCTATAAGATCAAAATAAACTTCTCTCATTGTTTCATATAAATCAATGTTTAGGATTCATATATGGTAAAACTATTCAACATTTCCCATGAGAAGCTGAATTTAGAGACAATAGGGAAAATTAATCTCAATTTATGTAGCAGAACTAAAGTATGACCCCAGATGTTGTGAGCCGTTGTGAGGAGCCCTTGTTTGGCCATTTCCCCCTTAAAATATTTTATTTTTAATATCGGGGCAAATGGAATTCAGCTTATAATATACTATTGTCTCTTCTTCAAATGCATAACTTTTTAAAAACATTTTTGTACTGGTTCTTTTATCCAAGTTAATGATCTAAAAACGTTTCCCAACGTCCATCTGGAGATGTTGAGATTTTAACTATCCAATCACTGATATCCATGGTCTAAATAGTGAGCCTGATAAAAAAAAATTCACAGCCATATGTATATGATTTTGCAAAAAGGCAGCCAGTACATCAATAAGCTGTACTGTTTCACGTTGACAGGAAACACAAACTTTATTCTTGAAGTTTTACAGTTACTGCCTGCCATTTAGTGATTACTGCAGGAAACGCAAGTAAATCAAGAGAGCAAGACGGTTATTGCTCAACATGAGAAAACACCACAAATGACCCTTTGTGAGTGTTCAGGTGGGTGGTTAGATACTTTATGTACACTTCCCGTATAGAGGCATATTCAACAAGCGGGGGAAGAGGTGTGAAAAGCAGAAGTATTTTTACCCCTCTGACCCTGAAGTTCTCAATCCTCATATTACAAAATGGAAAAATTAGACGAGGAAATTGTTTATTTAATCTTCAATTCCATGTTGAAGGGACACCTGCATATAGTTAGTTGATAGTGATTTGTTACCCTCAACTTTTAATTTCCATCTAATACTACAGCAATAGCCTTGAATATATCTTTAATCAAACACATTGTAGAGTTGGTAATGGTGCGGATGACTTTGTTTTGAAGGATCCTCTTTTAGTAAACCAAAGATATGTGTCTCTTGTTTGTTGTTATTACTTTGCAATGTCACCCTTTGATAAGTTTGGATAAGGCACAATATGCCATTGTGTGTGGTATGTCAAATTAGTTATCATGCTTTCATCAAACTTGCCTCAGGCGTTTTTGAACGATTAGTATGGAATTGCAATGTGATAGACTTTTGTGTGACTGATGAAAGGTAATTTAATGATGAATAGTTACACTGAATATGGCAGGGTAGGTGAAAGAGCTGTGAAATGAAAGAGAGCTGTTACAGTTTAAAGTAAAGCCCTTGTGTTTTGGTTAAATTGTCTAATAATCTAATTCAAAGTTTGAAACCTCTGTTTTCTTTGAAATTTCCAATATCTGACTTTAATTTGTAATGCCATATTTTTCCAAGTCGCTATTGCAACACTACCTATCTAAATATCTGAATATTCTTTTCACCACTGACAAGTAGTCATTCATCATAACTGATTATTCAA